CACGCCACCAGAGCTCATCAGGAGTACCGAGTCGCCGTTTAACCGCGGACATCTTTCCGGAAATCGTAATGCCGGACCATCTCCACCAGCAAAACGAATTACCGGGTTGATCTAACAAAACTCTCTTCTCAGATATTCGGAGCTGTCACTACGCAGCGACACGCCCGCGCCAGTTCTTCGGGCGATCGTCCCCAAAAGCTCTGCATGGGACCGAATGGGTTCTGGGCAGGCCCAATTCTACAAAGTTCGAATCGGGCTGAGATGGATCATGTTTTTATGAACAATAGTCACTAGCCGGACCGGGCTTAGCATTTTATTTACTAAAAAAAAAAATTATTTTTATGAGACCTGTTCGGTTGCCGTACGTCAGTGTAACCGACTTCGACACAAATGCATGTATTTTGATAATATACATCCGGATTCTGGTTGTCCGGGCAGTCTCTATGACCGCAACGCAATTCGGTTTATTTTTGAATCGGACGGCCGCAAAGTTTATTTTAGGAATATAGGATAGCCAAATTCATAAACGACCCTAAGAAAAATTTGAGATTTATTTTAAGAAATACTTGAAATTTGTATTTATAAATCTCACTTAAAGATTTTCCTAAGTTTTTCTTGAGAAAAATAATATCTTAAATAAATCTTATACTTTGGTATTCATAAACAGTTTTTAAGAAAAATATAAGATATTTGTTAGTCAAAAGTAAGGGATAGTTAAGATACTTCTCGCGGACACTTAAACAATACTCAATGGTCGGTTGAATACAATCAATTTATTTCGATAGAACCGGACGATTTCTACTGCTGCGGTTGAAAATTGAAATCGGACAGTGTGATTGTGCACTTAATCAGGTGCGGACCGGCGGGGCTTTTATGAAATATTGAAATTATTAACAACATTTCTTTAAATAAGTATAAACTGGTTGTTGAGAAGTTGTTTTTAATCACTAATAATTCTATCACCTATGAGGAGAGCACAAAACACCAAAAATATAGCTAAGAATAAAAAAAATGCTTCAAAAAATTCTTAACAATTTCAATCAAAAAACGATAATTTTTAAAATAATTTACTATTAGATTTTAGAAGAAAGGCAAAGAAAACAACAAGAAAGCAAAGATTGGCTAAATGTTAAGATGGATGAATAGGTATAGGTTTTAAATATGGCTTGATTATGTTAGGGAAATTGTAGGGTTCAGACACAAAAAAAAAATATTAAAAGTAGAATATACAGAATCTTGAAATTATAGTATACGATATAAGGACATTATAGGACCTTTAGAGTGTACCCAGCTCTGCACAAGCCTTTCGTACAGAATCCAATTATTAGAGGACATTATCTTCAAATATTCTTGTCAATAAAGAGTCATCAAAACACTGCAAAAGTGCAAAACAATAGGTACAGCCTTGAAAATACCAAACAAATACCATTCGCATAAAAAACTAAATAGGTACAAATATTATTTTATTCAGCCATAATAAGTGTGTCATGCTCATGCATACTATGTAAGTATGTGTTTGATCTCAAACATACATTCATTTTGATACCAATTATATCTATATTCACCAAATACTAAATTAATTCAAAAAATGTAATTCCTAAGCAAAATAATTATGATTAAAAATGTACCCCGTTGCATATTAAATAAAAAAAAATTCACTGAAGTCAAGTATAAAATTAGTAAAACCCTGAGGAATGTTTACATAATTGTAAATGTAGGTAATACAAGAAATTATATGGTTTAAATTGTTAAAAACTGTTATAACTTTATAAGTGTTTTTAATTTGTATCCAAAGAGGTATTTTTTAGATAGTTTATATACACATAGTTAAATGCTTTAAATTTGAATGAATCAACATTTATTATGATAGGTCATATAAAACATATATGATTTTTAATTTAACAACATTTTTTCATTCAAATGCCCATACGTTATTTTTGTTATTATACATTTAAATTTTAATTACATAACATATTTTTTTAGTAAATAAGAATATATTTTTAATCTTTTAGGGGGCCTTCGGCTTATCAACTCATTTTGTCAATGAACTCAAATAGTCAAATGGTCCGGTCAAAATGTGAGTCTAATAAGCTTAATATTGTCTTTGTTGAAGGTGTTCATACTTTAACACCACAAATTCATCTCTAAATGGATTAATTTTTAAAAATTTAAAAATATTAATACATTGCAACTTGCATGTGCATAAATGCCACTCATAATAATAAATATAATTAAAATTGTCCAATACATTTTTCATGTTTTCAACTTCATTAGCTTTACAAAAATATTTCATAAAACTTCCATCGGTGGATTTTCACTCAAGACTATAGGTAGTATCTTTATTTCAATAAAAATTAGCCACTAGTATTAGTGACACTATATATATTTTTTTTTTTCAAAAGTAATTAACAATCTGTATTCATACTAGGCACAATAAGAAAATGTAATATAGGTTATTAACATATAATGCAATTTTGTTGAAAGAAGCCACCCATTGATAGCACTTTCTGCTGGCTTGATAATTATTTATTTATTTATTTATGTATATATATATATTTTTTTTAAATTAAATTAAATTTAAGAGGTCTTGACACCACATACGCTTCAGACGTCCAGGAGGTTTTCCAGGTATTGAGGGAGTGGCCAAGTTTTTATTAATTGATTTGGGTGATTATTTAGATGGTAATGGAATCTTTTATAACATTTTTTATCTTCATCGTTTATTGAGTTTAGTTTTTAGTCGGTGTGTTGTGTATAATTTGATACGTAGGGTGGCGCATTCATTAGTTTTCTAAGAGCAATATTTTGAAAGGTTTGGATTTTCAAGATATTTGTCTTTTTCGCATTGCCCCAAAGCTGAAGGCCGTCGGTCCATAGTGGTTTCAATAGTGTTTTGTATACAAGCAGTTTTGTTCTATTAGAGGTGTGATTATTATTGGATAATAAGGGTTTAAGTAAGCGAAGACAATGATTCAATGATAATCTTTTGGTTCTGATATGATGAGCCCACGTTAATCTTTGATCTAAAGTAAGGCCAAGGTATAAGATTTTTGGAGAATAGGGAATTGGAATTCCGTATAGAAAACCACCACCAGAACAAGAAGTATGTCTGAGAGCAGAGGTTGCGTGAACGAATTTATTCTGGTTAACTTCAAACTGCCATTTTGTAAACCAATTTTCCATAGCATTAAGGTGAGTTTGTAGATTTATTGACGCTAGGATTGGATTGTTGTTAATGTATATTAGTGCTTTGTCATCATCATAGTCAGCTACTGATGTGTTGAGGGTAGTAGGTTGATCAGAAGCAAAGATATTATAGAGAATTGGAGATAAGATGCCGCCTTGAGGCACACCAGCATTTATAGAAGCTAAATCAGAAAGAGCGGATCCATAGCTTACTGGAAAATATTGATCCGTTAGATAGGATTTAATGAGTAGATAGTAAGTGAGTGAAAGGAATTTCTTAAGTTTATATAAAAGGTCATCGTGCCACACCCTATTGAAGGCTTCGTAATGTTTAGGAAAACACAATTACAAAAAAGTTATTTTTCCAGGGAATACGAAATGGCATCTACAACTCTGTGGACTTGGTGTATGGTTGAGTGAGACGCCCGAAAGCCGAATTGAGAATTTGGAAGAATATGCTTTTGAGTAATGATAGGTAGAATATGTTTCAGAATTAATCGTTCAAGGTTTTAGAGAAAAATGGAAGAATTGGTTGATGTGACAATGGAATGTCCGTTGGTTTATTTGGTTTAGGGAACAGGATTATAGTGGAGAATTTCCAAAGTAGAGGAAAATAAGAAAGTCTAAGTGAAGCATTAAATATGTGAGTGATGTGAATGATAACTCTAGTTGAAAGGGATCTGGCTACATCCGCAGTAATGCGATCATAGCCCTGTGAATTGCTTAGTGAGTATTTTAGTATGTCATATTTTACATTGTTTAGTGTAAATGACCTGACAGGGAAGGTTAGAGGAAGGGAAGCATTCAGGAATGTTTCTACCGAGTTCATATTTTCGTTGTCAATTATCTCAGAGTGTGGTTGAAAAGTTTGAGAAAGATGCGTCTTAAAGAGTTCTGCTTTTTCGATGTCAGAGATGGCAAAGCTACCATCTGATTTCTTAATAGGGAGATTTGGTGATTTATAAAGAAGAATTTGTTTTGTTTTCCTTCAGAAACTACCATCTTTGGGAGGAAGCTTCATTAAGTGATTTTGCCAATTATTTGACTTAATTTTCACTAGCATTTTTTCAAGGAATTAGCCAGGTTATTGTAAATTAGTTGTGAGAAGGGAGCAGTGACACTATATAGATTTTTAAACTACTTATTAATTTTATAAGAAAAATACTAAGTACATATTTTGTATGTATAATCAATATTGTAATCAATTGAATTACTTTAATAGTTTATTAAAGCTATAATTAAGCTTGGTTCACTTATAATTTTAAATTTATAATTGTTTCTTTTACTTGGCTTAACATTTTTATTGGCTTTAAAAATGATAATGTATTAATATTAGTTGATGATTAGCATTTTTTTACAACCGACACTTTATTTCGGACTAAAAAAATTTTAAACTTATACTTGGGTATTCACTAAAAGTTTTATGTATTAAATATTGAATTTAAGGGTACAGATTTGAACAAGACCGTTGTTTATTATTACTTATTATAAAACAATTGCTACAAATTATTCAAAATATAAATCAAGCAAACTATAAACAGTTCTAGTATCCAAAATATAAATCAAGCAAACTATAAACAATTCTAGTATTCAAAATGATTAGGATTCAGCATATTTACTTTGAACAGCAGTTTCCAAATGGTGGGCGAATACAAAGGTCTGATATTATGGTATACTTTTCTTCATTCATGTTAATTTATTCACAGCAATGTAAATGATTTGATTGGTTATCATTAATTTAAAAATGTCACATCCCAATGTTTATAACATGATCATAATATTTTGATAATTTGAGTTTGAATTTAATACACTTCTACAACATATAAAATATTTATTTATTTACAAAATCAAGTGGTAGGTAGGAAATTTACACATGATAGGACAAAAAAAAAATTATATATATATTTAAAAAATGATCATTTGGTAGGAGATTGTGTTTAAATTGAGCATTATTCCATTGGAAGGGCATCTTTATTTCTGCCGAATATTATCATGTCCGCCTTGGGTTGAGCGTTTTTGCCATATCCACCTCTGCCAATGTCATAATCAGTCCTATACTCATCCCGCACTTGGCCGCCTGTTTTTCCACGGCCGTATTGTCTACCTTCCAGGAATCCGGCATCCCAGTCTGTTCTTATGATGCGGTCGTCCAGTCGGGTGCCATTGACAAAACGCATACAATTCTCTGCATCTTCCCTTGTATAGTACTCAATGAAACAAAAGCCACAGGGCGTTTTTTTGAACTTATCCAGACCCATGACGATGCGATTAATATCACCACACTTTGAGAACAGCTCGTATATCTGTCCCTCCGTTGTATAAAACGCCAAGTTTCCAATATACATGGTCGTCGATAACCGCAATAGCTTGTCCAGCTCCCCTCGAGAGCCTTTAAAGTGTTGGTCTCTGTACGAGCTTACATCAGTCATTGCGTTTGTTTTTCGCAGTGGGTGTTTTGAATTTTGAAATTTTAACATCCGACGCAAAACTTCAATTTATGTTTTCACGTCTTGACCGGCTGCCCCCTGATTGGACGCAATATTAATACTGATAGTATATCTGATATCAATAAATATAATTGATAAGACGTGTTACTCACAGATACTAGATAAGGTACTCCGATATGATAACCATTGATAACCAATCATTGTAATTTGTAAACCACGAATTAAAATTTAAAATTGACATCTATTTTAATTGCTGGTTATAAACTTTAATAGTAATTAATTTAATTCGAGATATTAACAAATTTGAAATTAAATTATTTTGTAAAAGTTGCCACTAATATAATAAACCCTAGGTGTAGTTTGCAACAATTTTTCTGGCAAGTCAGTTTGGGTCCAAGAAAAATAGTTGTACATATAGATCGTTGTTTATCTAGTATATTTTAATTCGTATTGTAAAGTATGAACTATGAATCAATATGTATTTTATATATCCTAGGTGTATTCTAACAATACACCTTGGATTTATCCATAGGCACATACAACAACTAGATAGCGGACCGCATAGCCGCATAGGTACTACATTTCTACAGGTTGAACTGTTGAAGTCGTGCGGTCATAATACGTCAACAGGGTAGGTAATGTTTACAAAATAACTCAATAAATAAGATACCTCTACATATTTATAATATGGTATATATATTACGAATAAATGTGAAGTATCAATCATGTAATTTTTTACATATGGCTGCCGAGTGCCGACTTCAATATTATCCTGTAGTAGCCAGTAGGCAATCTAGTTGTTTTATAAATCTATGAGTATTATATAGAAGTCTGTGGTGCTATTAGGCTCTGATAAGTGATATAGATATAATATGATAATATTAAAACTACATTTCCCTCATAATTTTAAACAATATTTTACAATAATAATATAATTATTATTTATTGCAAATTTAATAATTATAGGTCCCAAATAGTATTATATATAAGATCAGTATACCTACTATGGATTTGTCTAGTATGAACATTTTTGTTTTTTTGTATTTTTTGAATCACAAGTCAATATACAATTATCTGTAACGGTATTATCTGTATTAATATAGTTTTAAAATTAATTGCTACTGTCAGTGATATTTTTATTACATAGGTGTTTTATAATTTAAAGGGACATTTTATTGATGAATTGATGAATAGTAATATTACTTTTAGACTTATATATTCCTGGACTTAACAACTGACAAATGACTTGGTCAATTATACTATTAATAATTGCTATTATTTTATTTAGTGTGAATTAAGTTTACTAACTTTTAGTCATTTTTATAATTATATTTAAGTACCTACTTACATTATAATTTAATTTGATAAAATGGACAACTATGTAAATTCTGAGAATCGAGTAAGACTGTTTATGAATTTATGAATTAATAATATTCTACATTAATTCTTAATTATTTCCTAAGTTTTTGAAACTTGAAATTGGCAAGGAATTTTGTCTCTTGTTGAGTTTGTAAATACTATTTTAAGGTATGAAAATGCAACTACTTCCAACTTTACCAAGTTTAGATGTAGGACCATTGAAGGTGCTAGAAAAAAAGGCTTTAAAAGTTACATAAATCCAATTTTGGATTATGCCGCTCTCGAGTGCAAAACTCAGTCAATAGGTATTCGGCCACAAAAAAGGCGTAATCAAAAGTATATTTATAATGCTATCCCAAATGTTGATGACAGACAGAAAAAAAACACACATCACTGTAAACACAATTCATTCATTTGGCACGCTCAGATTCTAATATGTAGTTTTAATAGGTAGGCACAATAAAAGTTTTTAGCATTTACCTATTTTTGAAAATAGAATATTGGCACTAATATTAAAAAGGCCCTTCTCAGAGTCATTGAAATTTAGTTAAGCCATTTAACACAAAAATACAGTGTAACAACTAACAAGGAATAACGCCACAACAATATGTTATACAGAAGCATATTATGCAGTTGGTGTGATTTTAAAGAATTAGTAAGCAGCGACGCACTATGGTAACCACAACTGCACGTATCCAAGTTAGCCATTCGGCATAAATATCGGTTCGCTATGCTCGGACAAAACACTTCGACTTCAACTTTTCAACTGAACACAAGTACAGACGTAATATATTGAGACGACAGTCGCCGAATCACCATGCAAGCCAACAGAACGACGACCTTTCGGTTTCGATAATAAGACTCGCCTCCGCGCACCACACTGTCATATCATAATTACGTCCTCTGGGAAGGAATTCTTGCCAAAAGCAGCCAAGCCACCATGCCTTCGCGATTCCCTGCAACTCTATTCAGGCGTTAAGTTTTGCCACCGGCAGATGACTGAAGAGCCATTGTACGATCACGGCCACCCAGACGTTCCTCCAGGTGCAGATACACATTCACGAAAAACTAGAAGTAAAAATTCTGAATCGCTAAAAGTTGAGCAATATAAAAACAGAAAGCAATTACAGACGTATCAGAACGACCTAGTAAATCATTTCATAGACAATTAAAAGAAGAAAACATGTCCATACTATAACATTAACTAATGTTACGTATATAAAAAATAATATGCATTATGCACGTAGATCCAGTTACCATCAGTATTATTACTAATAATATCAATAATATTTATACTACCAAAAATTATTAATGATGTTTATTCTATTTTAAAGTTAATAGAAATTAAAACTGCAAACAACGAATAATCTATACTATTTAATAACTCGGACACTGGCATAGTTATGTTTTCGTGTCAATCTAACTTAAGCTTTTTTAGTAAAAAAAAGTGTATTATGTAGATAATATTGTACTAAATTTTTTTGTCAGTTATTCACAATTCATAGATTATTACATAACTGTTTGTATATTCCACTTGTACTTTTATTTACTGTAAGAGAAGCAAATACTGAGTTACTTTGAAGCATTTAAAGTAATTAATCAGGAAATAACCAAAACAAATCCCTCATTTTCCCCAAAAACTATATTCACGTGAATTTTGAAAAGGCGATATACAATGACGTTAATAGAATATAGCCAAAAACCATTAATAAGAGGTTGTCGATTTCATCTGGGCCAGTCTCGGTGGAGAAAAATACAAAAACTAGGCTTGGCTTCAGACTATGTCCAAAATAATGAAATAGGCAAGTACTTAGTATTGACATTTGGGATTATCTTTCTTAAAACCACACGAAGTTGGAGATTTTTTTCGTTTGAAATTCTACTATTCAACCAGACGAGTACACAACTTCAGAGTTTGCTATTTATTTATTAGATACATGCATGATGAAATTTCATTATTTTTTCTGGAGTTATGGGCAAAAAAAAGTTTAGGCTCACAAAGAATCATCAATGCTTGCGAATCTTTTCATTTGAAATTTAACAAATTGTTGACTCTTCTCATCCAAACATATACACATTTTTACAAGTTTTAAGAAATATGCAAACTAATACTTCAATATTGATAAGAAGTAGTCTAGAAAAACGTAGAGTACCCAAAAGACCAACAAGAGAAAGAATACTATTTATAGAAAATAAAATAAATAAGTTTAATAGTAATGAAATCATGATTAAGGGTTATGTTAAAACATTAGCCAATAAATATAAACACAAAAAAAATAAAACTAATATGTGATTATGATACTTTATATTATGGTATGATGTTTTTAAGGTTTCAATGTTTTTTTTATGAATATGTGATTATGACGATTTATATTTTATATTTTATGTTATGTTATTATACTTTACAATTAAAATTTTATATGTAACTTAATAATATAAACTAGTAGTTAAGAAGTTGTTTATAATTACTTTTAATTCAAAATCATCTCTGAGGAGAGTACCAAAACCAAAAATATCGCTAAAAATAAAAAAAAGCTCCGTAAAATACTCAATAATTTCAATCAAAAAACATAAATTAAACAATTGAAAATTATTGTTATATTGTAAAACTGGTAATGTGAAGGATCATATTATATTTTTTAGAATAATTTTTCGTACCAATGTGCAATGCAATGATTTATCATTCAATTAAATTAGTATTTAATCTAACACATCCGTTACCAACGTCTTAAACTTAATGACAAGGTATACTTTAATGTTACTAGTTATATACATCAGATTGAACTACTTCCTGGTTTTTTTCTCATTCAACCTATTTAATATTACGTTTATTTATTTTTCAGTAAAAGCCTGATCATTAGTAAAAAATAGGTTTAGATGGTTAGGGTTTACTAATCACATTCAGTAAATGCTGAAAACGTTTTGATTATTTCCGCCTTTAACTAGAAACATATTTATTAGATCATTGAATGTAGATACAACTACATTAGTACGTATATATATATAGCAATAAAAGCTGATAAGCAATGTTATTTTTAATAAGGTTAGGTCGACGGTCTTTTTATTGAGTATATTTATAGATTATTTCTTTTTTTACAAATTTATAAGGCATAAAACAAGAAAGTAAAACATGTATTACGACATTTGATTATCTTACAGCTACTATTTTGGTTTCCTTTATAAATCGCCTCGAGCCAATATTGCGTCGACGACATGCCATTTGGGGCGCATCTGAGTGAATCTCAGACACTATACGAATATAATAATTACATTTATAGTACCTTTACTAGTTCAGTCCCGGATTAATTTAGGTACTACATTAGATAAGATTAATTGCATGTAGTATTTACGCCAAAGGCCAATCATTATCAGGGTTGTTAGGGACCCCCATTTTGCTTTGTAATAAACTTATTAAGAAGTTTGTAAATAAACGTAAGTCGTTCACAGTGAACGACGGGTAGGACCAGAAGAATTGCTGTAACTGGCAGCATCTTTCTTGTGCGTGGTCTTATGATAAAAAGGTACTACATGATAGTTGAGTTCCAAATGTTTTTCGGTGAGTAATCCACCAACGAAAATATGAAGTTGCGTCAAAATATACGCCATGAAACGTTGTTTGCGCCAAACTAAACGAGTCCAAGTGATGCGACATCTTGTGTTACTATGAGACTTTAAAATAAAACTCGGATGCAACCAATTTTCCAAAGATTTAATATTATTTATCCTCACATAACATTGCCAATTGTTCAATACACACCCCAGAGTATGTATCATTTTTTTTTGTTGAATATAATTTGTGGCGTGAATCCGGCAGAAAAATAAATACATGTATTTCGTTCAATTCTTATCTTTTTTTCCAGTATAGTTTTTTTCACGTAGGTAGTAGTGTAAATAAAACATGTTTTCATCGGTTAGGTATCTACTATATAGACGTATAGTATTAGTATAATGTGAGGTATATTGTATGTACATAATAATATACATTTTATTATAATATGAATAATACATATATTGTCTCCCAAATTTTGAATATCTTGTGTGTATATTATATGGTATACCTTCTAGTGTATAGAACGACTATGGTACGGTAGCGCGTCGTTGTCTCGTTGATGATTGTATATACATGACAGACGCACGTATTATTAATTGATCTTAGGCTTCCACTTAACTGGTTATAATAGCTGTTTTACTTTAAAGTTATTTAAAAACCTTGATAATTTATTAAGATATTTTGAAAACTAATTCAAATTTTAAAATTCTTACTAATAAATACCTAGGTACTAAGTATTACGTCTGTTTTATATTTCATGTAAAACCATTAGACTATTATGCTTAGACGCTTATAATCACTAATTAGTGTATATAATTTAATAGCTTAGAAACTACTTATTAAAATTGATTTAGTTGCATCATAATTTTCAAATAAAATCATCAGATTAACATTATTTCAAAAAATATCATAAATGTATATTATAAATAATGATAAGAAAAATCTAATAATTTGAAAATTCGAATACGTAAATGCTTTATAAAAGCATAAAAGGGGCTAAGTATGCTTGGCGAATGAGGATGGATGTCGGATGATATATATCTCTGAATCTTCTTGAACATTTTATTTGCAGATGGCTGTTCCTTGTAATAACGCGAGAATCAAGAAATAAAGTCTGTGAACAGAGAAAAGTTGAACGCAGAAGCTTACAAACCTTGCTTCAGGTGTCCGGAGAGCACTCGATGTCATGTGTTCGGGTACTGAAAAAGTAAGCCGTACACCTAAAATATTAAAACCTTTCCAACCTATTATCCTATATATTTGTTGGTCGAACTTTAAGTCTCGGTGTGATATGATAAATTGAGGACAAAAGTGCCTATACTATAATACAAATATACGCATATAAAAATGTAAATTAATTACACGCATGAACTGAATGGAGTACAAGAGTGGGGCAGTCTGTTATCACTCACTGCACACAGGACCTGACTTCTGAAAATTTCGGGTATTGCACTGATGATATGATGACCTTGTCTTGGTTACCTTAGTCCAAAGAGTGGTATACTGCGTGTATCAAAGAGATTTGTGATTTCACGTATAATCTCTCTCTCTTTAGCGGCAAGTCATTTTTTTCGGTCATCCGTCATCTTCGGCGGCAAAAGATAGGAAGTGACAAATTTGCAGTCGAAGATAAACATAATATGAAATACGTGCCACTTGATTGCTTTACTATTGACGGAATAGGTAATGATAGTATCGGCGTGTTTGTTCCATTCGTCAATGCCGGGTTCTAATTTGAGGGATGTTGGTTCTTGCGGTTGGCGTATGAACCTTTATTTATTTTGCTTAAAATAAATCTTATAACCTATTTTGGAAAAAAAAAACCTAAACACGATGTGCAGAAATATACTAGTACAACACACGGTGCAATTTATTGGTCGCTTTCGGATTTACAGTGCACAGTATCTACATGTGGAACGCGTTATTTTTGCATCACCACCGCCGCCACCAATCGGAAAAGCTCGACGTCCGCGGTTTTTCAACAGCGCTGTCGTGTCCGTCGTTCGGTCGCGGGCCCTCATCGTCGCACGCACCACATACACAAATCCCCGCTCCACCGCAACGCGCGTGTTTATGTCCGGTATATGCGTACCGACCGTACGTCGTTGTCGTCGTCGTCGTCGTCGTCGTCATCTTCGCTGTGATCCAAAACTTTACAAACCGCCGCCGCGCCGGGGCCATATTCATCGACAAGGTATGATGGGATTTTATTTATATCGATATTTTTTCCGATCACTGCAGTAGATAAGCAAACTGTAATTATTGCTGCTCTGACCAGTCGTTATCGTGTCATAAGATATCTTTACAATTCCTTGTGCCTAGCTTGATTTTTCGACAGTATTATGTGGCGTTGGACTTGCAGTAGAGTCGTACGGACTTCACACTCGGGAGTTATTGTTTTTTTATTGGGGTTAGTGACGACGTAGATACACCAAATGTTTTTATGACGTATAGGACCGCAGCTTATAATATAGCTACTATTGAGTTTATACGTGTTATATTCTGTTCCCCTAATAAAATATAACGTATTGAGTATTAAAATATTTAGAAATTAATAGGATTTCATCATGATTATTATTTTTATTATTATGTGGGAATACATTGTTTTTTGGTTTGCTTATACTTTTTATTGCTGTACAAATGGAATTACAATGTACATAAGCACACGCGAGCACGAGTATACATTTGAATTACGTTTTTTAATGAAGTATTTAGATTTAAAAAATGGTCAGGGTGACACTTAAATTTGAATATTTTAACTGTAAATCTAATATTATACTGTAGCGAACAACCAAGTACACGATCCGTGACGAGGGTAAATTTTTTTCACAGCGTTAAAAAGTTATCCATTGTTTGTCATAACTATTTTGTGAATTAATAGTAATAATTTTTAATTTTACAACTTATTTATTTTTATATTCATGATAAAATAGTAGGTATAGGTTATTGGTACCTATTACCTAATAATTATAATATAGACAAAACAATTAACCGTTATCAAATTTATCAAAAACCTATGCAGTTAATTTTTAATATATTCTCAATGGGATTTATATTAATGTGTGTTACCACCGTGTTGTAAAATTATTTAATATTTTTCTTAGTTAGCATTAGAGAACATTAGTTATCTGTGGGTATTGTTTGCATTTAAGTGTAAAATATGAAGTAATTATTAATTTATAATTTGTATTGTATTTTACACGAAGAATATTATATAGGTATAAGTTCCTATAATCTTTTATATTTTCCCAGAATTTGACATTGAACATTGGTTATTCAAAGTATAATAATTATTAACAAACATTTGTAATTATATTTGAATTATTCTGATTTGTGTAACTGCATATAATATACTCGGTTAGTATGTTAGATATGATCTTTAAAATATAAAGTTGATCTTATAATCATTTCTGCAGCTGTTTAAAATATATTTAATATTTATATACAAGATTATGCGTATGGCCAAAATAGTAATATTATCAATAATCGTAGCTATAGATATAATGGAAGTTTTTATTTTCAAAGAGATGTGCATAAGAAATATGCAATCTATCCCAACATATATTTTTGGGTTTTTATCTTGGTATTTATTATATATTTATATACCTATAGGCTATAGTCTAAACATACTGTAATACGATAAATATTTAAAAGTTAAAGTATGTAAAATGTACAATTTACATCTTATTAATACTCGATAAACTGAATATTTAAAATGTGTGGTTTATATTGTTAACAATAACAACCTTAAGTAAGTTTGTGAATTAAAAATGTTGCTCCCAGAAAATACATAAATTGATAATAGTTTATTTAGTTTGATGAAAAGACAATATTATTTTTTGTTAAAGCATCAAAAAAGTATGGTTTGTGATGAAATATGTCTTCCATTAATATAAAAAAAAAAACAATGTAAAAGTGTAGGAAATACGATTTTTGTTTAATGAAATTAAGGTGATTTGCTGAGTATTCTTATAGAGAATGTAATATAAAACTATACAGTAGTATATAGTACAGGTTCACGTCGGCTAGAATTGAATTCACTGCCATAAGGTGAACCGAGAATCTATTGTTTAGAAGGTAGTCTATAGTTTAAAGAACTTAAAGAAAAAGAGAAAATAGTTTTTGAAAAAAATGTTGAAATAGAAGATAAATATAATGATATTATTTCATTTGACAATAAAGGCTTGTATAATATATATAGATGTAAATTAAATTAAAAAATATACTCCAATGAACGGGGGAAATAGCTATAGTACTTATGGTACTATCGTCATATTGCTTAAAATACGTGAGTCATATTTATTTATTTAATAATTTTTGGTTTTTGTTAGCGTATAATGTCAAGTCATATAACTATCTATATAGTGTATTTTATAAATTGCATTAACTGAGTTTATTGAAAACGATACGATACGACTGGGAGAATAGATGTGGACAGAATACAAAGAGATTTTTGGAAATAATTAGAGTTGTAGCATTGTTTTACACATATATTAATCTGAAAGTGATGATAAATAATGTAATTTATCGATTCTTATAGCATAGTATGATTTCGTTTAAATAAAAACAAAAAATATTGTTTTGATATAAATCTTGATATTCCATCTAAAATAATATATTATTTTTAATTTCATCACATGTTATAATCATTTGGTATAATATGTAATATGTTTGGTATTTAACGAGATAAAAAACTTAAAATTAATATTATGTTTAGTAATAATAATTATCGTTTTACATTGAAATTAAACATCTGTATAGGTGCGTTATATACTATAGGTACGTTATGTATTATACTAATTTATCTTTAATGAAATAATACACATAAGTGCTTCAAAATTACTATTATTTATTAATTATTTATTTACTAATTAGACATTACTCAGTATTTGTATTTTATATTTGTTTACTAATTAGACACTAAACAGTGGTATTATTTGAAAATATAAATATTTTCAATTTATGAGCCAAATTAGTGAAATTGTTTAAATTAATCTTATTATAAAAATCAAAGCAAAAGTGTTTACATAAACTTAAAAATAGAAGCTAAAATATTGGAAGTTTATTTTCGAAATTTATAAAGAATACAAATTTACATTTAATTCAATCTGTTGTTTTTATGTCTATCTAATACTCTAACATACGAAAAATTATTTTAATTTAAGTAATAGTTTTGTTTTTTGTTGGTACTTTTTGTATTAAGAAAATTATTATGATAATAAGAAATTTTAATTCAAACATTAAAAACACCTTGACCCTTTCTTAATTACAGAACCAAATTATAAATGTCTAATAAATGCCTTTGACTATATCAGGTGGCATTCTATACAAAATTATTCTGAAATGTAAATTTAGTAAAGGCTTGTGATGTTTATATCTGCGCTAAAAATTGTACTTCATTCTAAATTTAGATTTAAAATAATTATTTTGATATTTGGATTTACATAAATTATATTTAATAAATGTATTATTAGTACAATAGTGCTTAGTTAGGTTCGTCATATTTTAATATCCTGTATATGACTGTATATTTTGTATATTTTACTTATAAGTTCTAACTAAAATCAATGATCATAAAAATAATTGTTATATCTTTTTATTTTATTTGCTTTTTATCAACATATTACCTATTAACTACAAATGTATAACACGGATTTTGGAGTTTTTTTATTTGTCATTTAATAATGTTATGATCCTACCAAAAAAAGAGAACTGTCAGAAAACAATTTTATTTTTTTGACGTTTTTCATTTAGATTAAATAATGTAATGAGATCCAACAAACTAATTGACATTATAAGAGAAATTCTTTTGTCCCGATGAAATTTAAATTATTCTGCCATTTACAAGTTGTTATTCGTCCCATAATTTTTTCTATTTTTATTTGTTGTAAGGTTGATTCACCTTTAACCCATCATGATTTATCGGAAAAGCTCTTAAAATGTCACTCTTTTTCCAGTCATTTTGATAAATCACATTCAGTTGAGGGTATAAACGAGCAATACAAGGGGTGACTAAATAACTGAAACTCAGATCTTTTGAATCACATTTGGTACGGCAAAATATTTGATGGAAAATTATAAGGAGAAATAATCCTAGAAAATACTAAATATTTTGAATTTTTTTTTAAATTATTAAATTATATTTTTATAGAGATTAGAACTTCGAATCCAAACCACATTTTTAATTTGAATTCTTCATTTTCTTTCAATAGTCAAACACAAAGCCGAAGCTTAGAGATAATTGTTTGGATAAGCATTGTTGCCATTTAAACATTTTTATCTATTTGAATCATTTCATTAATTAATGATTCTTTCAATAAATCTTCTGTTTGAGTATGGAATTCTCTTTTGAGTACCAAGTATTGTTTTTCTGAAGTTAACACTAGGTCTATCAGTTCGACAATTCCCATTAATTGTTTCTCTAATTATTTAATCGTTTCTAAGTTTTTATAAAATATGATTGCATATCTACAGAACTTATTGTTGAGCAACATAGTTACATATTATGTAATTGTATTTTGCAACAGATATTTATTTTTTGAGAAACATATTTTAAAATTAGTTGTGCGACAATGCTTCATACTCTGTTAAGTAATATACCTTATAATATTACGGTGTTTTTACTTATATCTTTATTCTATTGCACTATTATTTTCTTAAAGTAATCAACAGCTTTTGTTGAAAAACAGTAAATATTGTTAGTACTTATTAATATAATTTGAGATTCGACCCACAAACTTTATAAATCTTCAAACATACCATTTCAAATTCAAAAATGTTGTAGAGAATTGTTAAAATTTAAAACCTTGTTAAAACTTTGGTCAATCGTTGATCAGAAGCGTAGTATTGTACTGCTATGGTTGCTATAAAACGCGGGGAAAAACAACATATACATGGAAGGAGACGTAGTACTACACTGTCACACATACATATGTTACAACTTGCATTTATGAGCCCCCACATGAACATGTGTAGCCAGGCCCGTTTTCTTGAAATATAAATAATATGTACCTAGGTAGATAGAATGAGATTATGTGCATAAAAATATACATTCATTTATTGAAATATTCAACGGGAGTCATATAACCGTATAAAAAAAGATGGTAGGTACATGCAGATGATAATATTATGTACATTGTAAAATCTGAATTTACTTACGTAATATTAATACATAGATAATATGAAAAACAAAAA